ACGAGTAAAAATGGATTGAAATAAATGAATTGAAAAAAATGGAAATATCATTTAAAACTAGAACACCCTGAAGGGCGGAAATTTACCAAGGAACTTCGAAGTCGAAGAATATGACAAAAAATGATATTTAAAAGTTAAATAATCTTTTAATAATAATATATATATATATATATATATATATATATATATATATATATATATATATATATATATATATATATATATAATGGAAATTAATGACAACGAGAAAAATTGTCGCGTTTTGTCCTTTAGGACTTCATCGAACTAAAGTGATGTTTAAGTCAATGTAACTACACATTTGCACAAAGAGGAGGGCACGCAAAAATCTTTTAAGTTTTTTTTTTAAAAATATGTGTTTGGGTATGACAATAATGTCCTTAATATTATTTAATTACAAAAGCAATTAAATGCTTTTTCTAATTAAGTAATGTCATAGTTTTATTGGATTCATTATGTTTCAATTCAGAGCAGATTTTCACTTAGATAGCTCAAATTTGAAAAAAAATGCAGGTGATTTACAATCTCCAAAGACTCCTACTTTAAAAAAATATTCAGGAAATAGAAAGGTTTTAAGCGAAATTTTATGAAATTAAGTGGGGAGTAACATATTTAAAAAATATTTTTTTTACCAAATTTTCTAAGAAAAAATATTTCATAAATAATTTCATTCATTTATGAATAAGCTTTGAAATTTTCATTAAAATCGGACAATTACTTCATTTTTATTAGAATTTCCAAATCACTGCGTTTTTAACGGAAAAAAGCGCAAAAAAAAACAAAAACAAAAGAAGACTTTAACCAAAATTTCGAACGTGTTAGAAAGGATTAAAAAAATTCAAAAAATAATTAAAAAATACTTTGGTCTTTCATCTTAATAATAGCATATACATTTTGATGATAAAACTTCATTTTCGTTAAGATTGTGGCCTTTTTCATTACGCTATCTGTTTTCCCGCGAAAAAGCGGAGGTGCCTGTAGTATATAGTCTTACTAATTCTTGATTGATCTTCTGTTATCCAAATGTGGGTTACTTAATAACAGAAGTGATAAAAACATGAACAGGAAGAAAGAGAGACTTCCGTATTTACCGGCGTCATGGACGCAGTTTTTATCCTGAAATAAGTCTCGAAAATTTGCCTCGCGAAGTTTAGGGTTTTCGTAGGCGCATGCTAATCCCAAAGGAAGGATATCTGTGGCAGACTGTAAGATGAATTGCTGCATGTTATACAAATTTTCGAAACTTATATCAGGAAAAAACTGCGTCCTTGACGCTGGCAAATAGGATCAATGAAATTGGCTAGAACACTCCTACCAAATATACGATGTTAAAAGTCCAAGAACCTTCCTGAACAGAACGCAACAGCTAAATTCGCCACTGAACTATTTTTTTAAGTGGGTCAACTTAAAGGATTTAGAGGCGAAAAATGAATATTTCTGATGTAAACATGAAAAGAGTTAGCTTTGAGACGTTAAGAAATAACTCGGTATATTCAAGTGAGAGAGAGAAAGAAAGACAGGCATATAGATAGACCAACCGAAAGAGAGAGCGACAGAGACAGCGAGAAAAAGATAGTGGAAGAGATAGAAAGATAGTGAAAGTGAAGGAGGGGGAGAGAGCGGGAGAAAACATAAGTAAGAAAGAGAACGAGAAAAAGGTTTTATTTTAAAACTAAACGTCGTCCAGCTTTTTATATATTATATCAAATGTCAGCCATATTCACTTCAAAACGGTGTAAGAATTTAAAGAGGAGATAATTCATACTTATAGTTATAACCGTCACAACAAATTTTTTCGATATAAATATAATAAAATAAAAAAAAAAAGATCAAACTAAGTTTACCTCCTTTTTTTTCTGTGTTATATAATAACAATGATAAAAAAGCGTCTCGTTTGAAATGCGCATTGCGTTTTAACGGAAACTCTTTGAGCTGGTATTTGCTTGACGCCATTTTAGATTGGACGCCATATTGAGTATGACAAAGTAATTAACGTAGAAATAAATTATTTCGCCATGAAATAAGAAGAACGTCAGCAAGGGTTAGACATTCTTTATATTTATGTGGCGGCCCACTATTAAATAACGAACACATCGCTGAAAAAAAAAGAAAACAAACAGAAAAAAAAATGAAAAGAAAACTGTGAAAATATTTGATCAACGCGTTTACGTTCAGATAATTCATAATTAAATCGACCAAAAGAATCAAGTCGTATTGACTATCGATAATATGCAGTTACCTGAATCTATTTTTTTTTAAATTATGTACATTATGATTATAATCCTCATCATCTTCACCAATGGGCAAAAGAAAAACACCTTAGCAAACATCTTCCATGATCACCATGACTGTGATCGAACTTTTTAATCCCATCTTTCCATCTTATGTCTGGTTTTCTACTGCGTTTTTTATCCATTAGGCTTAAACTTAACCTTTTGCTCCATCTGTTATCCTTCCTGTTTTTTATGTGTGTCCTATCCAC